ATTGATAATCCTTGTAATATGTGACATGGTAGAAAAGGCTAAGCCTCTGGGGTCAGCATAGCTTTCAGTCCTATCCCTGCTGTATACTAGTTGTGTGACCTTGGTCACACTCTCAGGGCTCTCATCTGTACGTGGTGGCAAAACACAACCCACAAGCTGGTGGAAATGTGAAAACGAGACCACACACACAAAGCACCCACCATATCACAGGCTCAGCACAAGGTGGTCCTGCCTCTTACTCTACTGTGTAATTCTGCACTAACACTAATTCTTTTCTAATCCATCAAAGCACATCAACTGGGTTGTCAGATTTAGATGAACTCAAAATAGAACCTTGAATTCATCTAGGGTTATCTAAGACAATTCTTTTCTAATCCATCAAAGCACATCAATTGGGTTGTCAGATTTAGATGAACTCAAAATAGAACCTTGAATTCATCTAGGGTTATCTAAGAGCATGAAAACAGCTCTCACACCTACAAACAAAAGAAACAAACATTTTTAGAAAGACATTATCCCAGTAATGCAAACTGAATAGTGCCAAAGACTTCCTCGCCTACACTTTCCTGTGGCTCCAGTATACCCAAACAAAAAGACCCAACGTTATGAAATCTTACATTTGTCCCTTTCTAAGAAAAAAAAAAAAGAGGAAGAAAAGAAAAGAAATTCATCAATTCTAGGACCATGCAGTTTTAAACTCTTTGTTAGCTATCTCATAATGTTGGAGAGAGGAAGGGCAAAAAGTTAGGTTTTCTCCAATTTTTAAGAATAAGTTCATATTTAACAGTGAAAAATAATTTTGATGGAAGCCTCTGGATATTTTGTGATTATACTGTTTGTTTACCAAATGCAAGTTCCTCTCATCAAAGCATTCAGCACCTGGACTGCAGAAGGTATTAGTTAACTACTACTACATCCTTTTTTCCTGTTCTAATTTCATCTAATGACTTATCATCATCTGAGCTATTCTAAAGTAGATTTTATATTTTGCCCCTTAGGAGCTTTCACCCTTTATTCCATGCTGCTAAAAAATTGCAGCTGGTTAAAATACAGATCTAAGGGGCCGGGCCCAGTGGCGCACTGCTACAGTGCGCCGCTTGGGAGTGCGGCGGCGCTCCCGCCGAGGGTTCGGATCCCACATACAGACCGGCCGCTCACTGGCTGAGCGAGGTGCAGGCGCAACACCGATGGCTGCGATCCCGTTGCCGGTCCCGGTCCGGTACGGGCGTGACACTGAGGGTTGCGATCTGTTGCCGGTCACGAAAAAAGACAAAAAGGAAAAAAAAAATACAGATCTAAGGTACTTCACAAAATAAAATAGAATTCAGCTTCAGAAAATTTTTCTAAGTATTCTGACTCTAGTGATTCATCCTGTCATGTTAAATTTGCACACTGAGAGACATTTTCTAAGTCAAATATACCTGTGTTTGTTTGCAAATAAATGTTTGGAAAAATAAATCTTTTTTAAATTAGGCATAATTTCAATAAAATAATAAAAGTTTACACTGAAAGAGGCCAAAACTAGGAAAGTTCACACCTCATTTGTGAATACAAGTGGTACTGCGAAGGCTCAAGGCTCACGGCTCACCACCTGGAGACAACCTGTGCCCTCTACACAAGTAACCACTATGTGCAAAACATGCATGAAAACAGGTTTTAAGGAAGACAGGAGAAGGTGACTACTAAAACATAAATGACAAAATTTTGGGTGAATTTTACAACGAAAAAAAAAAAACAGTCAACTCATCAAGAAGACATAACAATTATAAACATATATATGTATTTTACAACAGAACCTGAAAATAAGTGAAGCAAAAATTGACAGAATTGAAGGGAGAAACAGACAATAATTCACTTTCAGTAATGAATAGAACAACAAGACAGAAGATCAACAAGCACATAGAAGACTGTAGAACAACACTGTAAACCAACTGGACTTAACAGATATCTATAGAACACTCCATCAAAAAAAGCCATATATACATTCTTCTCAAGTGCACATGGAACAGTCTCCATGACAGACCATATGTTAGGTCATAAAACAAGCCTTGATACTTTTAAAAAGAATGAAACCATATAAAGTATGTTCTCCAGGAAATTTAGGAAATACACAAATATGTGGAAATTAAAAAACAAATACCTAAATAACCAGCGGGTCAAGAACAAATCACAAGTGAAATTATAACATAATTTTAGATAAATGAAAATAAAAACACAACACACCAAAATTTATCGGACACTAAATTATGGGATTTAAAGCAATTCTAAAGGGAAATTTATAGACCTAAATGCCTGTATATAAAAAAAGGAAAATCTGATATCAATAACCTAATCTTCCATATTAAGAAACTTGAACAGAAGAGGAAACTAAACCTAAAGCAAGCAGGGGAAAAAAGATAAAATAAATATTACAGCAGAAATAAAAGAAACAGAGAACAGAAAAATAATAGAGAAAATTGACAATACCAAAAGTTGGTACTTTGAAAAGGGCAAAACCCTGACAAACCTTTAGCTATAGTGACTAAGAAAAATGAGGGAAGACTCAAATTAATGAAATGAAGAGGGAACATTCCTACCAACATTACATAGATAAAAAAGACTCTAAGGAAATACTATAAACAATTGTGTTCCAACAAATTAGACAGCCTAGACCAAATGGACAAATTCCTAGGAAGACACAAAGTACCAAAACTGACCCAAGAAGAAGTTGACAATCTGAACAGACCCCTAACAAGTACAGATTAAATTAGTAACCAAAAAACTTGCAATGATGAAAAGCCCAAGACCAGATGGTTTCACTGGTGAATTTCTACCAAATATTCAATGACTAACACCAGTCTTCTACTAACTCTTCCAATAAAATAAAATATAAAATAAGTAAAATAAAATATAAAATAAGTAAAATAAAAACAACTCATTCTGTAAGGTCAGTAATAACCTGACACCCAAACCAGAAAAACACATCACACAAGAGCCACAGACCAATACGCCTTATCAATATAGATATAAAACCCCCCAACAATATATGAACAAACCAAACCCAGCAACATAAAAAAAGGATTACATACTATGAGCAAGTGGGATTTATCCCAGGAATGCAAACCCAAACCAGAAAAACACATCACACAAGAGCCACAGACCAATACGCCTTATCAATATAGATATAAAACCCCCCAACAATATATGAACAAACCAAATCCAGCAACATAAAAAAAGGATTACATACTATGAGCAAGTGGGATTTATCCCAGGAATGCAAAGTTGGTTTAAAATACAAAAATTAGTCACTGTTATACAAAATATTAATAGCTAAAAGACAGGACCATATGAAAAAAAGCATTTGATAAATATAACATCCTTTCATGATAAAAAAAATTCAACACACTTGGAGTAAACAAAAGGAAAGTTCCTCATCCTGAGAAAAGCCATCTATGAAAACCCCATGGCTAACATCATCCTCAATGGTGAAAGGCTGAAAGGTTTCCTCCTAAGACAAGGAAAAAAGACACAGATGTCTACTCTCACCACTTCTACTCAACACTGTACTGGAATTTCCAGTCAGGGCAATTAGGTAAAGAAAAGAAATAAAAGGCACTTCAATTGGAAAAAAGAAAAAGTAAAACTATATCTATGTGCAGATGACATGATCCTGTATTTAGAAAATCCTAAAGAATCTCAAAAAACCTATTAGAACTAATAAATGAGTTCAGTAAGGTTGCAGGATACAAGATCTATATACAAAAATCAACTATATTTCTATACACTAAAAATAAACAATCCAGAAATAAAGTTAAGAAAACAATTCCATTTGCAATAGCATCAAAAAGAATAAAATACCTCAGAGTATCATGGAACTGCTTTGCCACAGCACCATAATGACCTTGCACATATCCACACAGGCCACAAAGGCCAAAGCTTGAACAGCAGGTAACCTGAGGCTTGGCTGAACACCTTGTGATCCTCTGGACCACGACATGACAGGAAGCCTGAGGCTGCTGAGACTATCTCCTTTTTGCCCCTCTATCTCCTAAGGAAGGCTGTCAAGATACAACTTCTGATGAGGTATGGAGCTTTCTGCCCACCCTTCTCAGAACATAAAACCATTTTAAACAGTTAAGAAGTGGCTCTTCAGCAGTGGGGTATTTCACAATTCACATTCTAATCATTCAGCCCCTTTAGGTGTTTGGGCCAAGGATCCTGGGATGGTGGCCCCTTTGGCTTCTCCTTTTCTCCGATCATATTAGTAACAAACTGTCTAAACCTATCAGTGGCTTGCTGTGTCTTGTACCTTTGCTGGTCACATTAGTCAAGCCTCAGACTTGGCCCGTGTGTGTGCCTCAAGTCCCAGAAGGAGAGGAGAAAGAACATAGGGTTGAAAAAGTATTCAAGCAAATAACGGCTGAAAACATCCCTAAGTTGGTAAAAGACATAAATCTACAGATTCAAGAAGCTGAGGGAACCCCAAAAAGGATAAACCCAAAGAAATCTATGCCAAGACATCATAGTTAACTTCCAAAAAGAGAAAGAAAAATCTTAAAAGCAACAAGAGAGAAATGATGCATTATGGTGGGGATAAGAGTGGGGAGTATGCAATTTGAATGGTAGGGAATATTAAACTGAACAGATGCCCACAAGACAGACCAACCTCTAATCTTTATTGAACCATCTATTGCAGCCACAATGGTCTCATCTGTATACTCCAAATGTGCCTGGGCATTTTCATACTGTTTTTTTTCATACACCAAGAATGTCCTTCCCCATCTTCACCCTTAAAGAATTCTCCATATCCTTCAAGGCCCCACTTGAACCTCACTTTACCTCATTCACAAGCTCTCCAAGTTCTCCTCAAAAACTTTTCTAATTTTGTCAACAGATGTTAAGTTTAATTCATTTAACTTATTGTTTATTTATCACAATTCAAATTTTTACTTAAAACCTCTACAAGGTAAGCAATCTGTCAGGATATCTTTAAGCAATCACATTTCTTACAATATACTTACGGCCACTCTGATTCAGGCTGCTTTTGGTGAGCTTCTATGACATTAATCGCAATATTGACATTTTCTTCCAGTTCTTTCATTCTTTCAAAATTAAGGGATGTGAACAAAATCATTGAAGAGTAGGCAACAATTTTTTTGTCTGGATGATTTAAGCAAGACCTTTCGAATAAGGAAATACAATTGTAAGCCCAATTTAGCAACATGATAAAATATAATTATAACACATAAAAAATAATTCCATTAGCAAATTCAGTACATACTGACATATTTAAGGATTTGATGAAGAATTGACACTTTGAAACAAGTACATTATTTACTGTAAAAATAGCAAATATAAAACTAGTCATAATAAAAATTATACAATATTAAAGTTGCAATTGACTTAGGACCAGAAGAAAAAAGCAAATAATTTAACATTTGATTAGAGAAAAGGTTAAAAATGATTACAATTATAAAGCATTAAAAGATTCTTGTTAGAAAAGAAATCAACAGGCATTGATAATACCTCAATGACTACAGGTGTTCCTTTACAGGTGTTCCTTTAATAGTCATGAGGGATAGAATGTCTAAAGGATAGATAGTACAGTGGCAAGAAATAGAATTTGGAGTCAAGAACCTCAGTATAATTCCTAGCTCATTTACTTATCAGCTATGTGACCTTAAGAAGGTCACTAATTTATCAATAGTCAATTATATCATGGGTCATGCAGTATGACAGGATTTTTTTTCACTTAAACTTCATAATAATACTCTTCTTAGGGAGGTATTATCTGCATATAACAGATAAAGAATCTGTTAACTTCACTTGCCTGAGGTACAAAGCCAGAACCTGCCAAAACTGGAATTCAACTTTGGTTATACCTGTCTCATAGAAACACATAAACAGTAAAGTCACACAACCTCTCTCAGTATGTTTTCTGATATAAAAAATGAAATACGACAAAACCAGCTGTCTCACAAGGTTTTGGTGAGGATCAAATAAGATAACATAAAGCACCACATAAACTGCTAAGACTTCGCTGACTGTCCTACCCTTGCTCACTGTCTCTCCTTTGCTTTTCTGTTACACCCTGGATTTACCCTAATTTTATTAGGTTATTACACTACAATGTACTTGCCTGTTCCTTTATGTCCCCCACCAAAGTATGGAAACTTTGGGCACAATAAACATATGTAACTGAGTTAAGACTGTAATCCAATCATCTTGCTCAAAACCTGGCAGATACTAGATGCCAAAATGTTTTAAAGGAATAAATTCTTGAAAATAAGTAATGTGTATTTCTGTAGCTTGAATCTCACAATTCTTTTCTTCTACCTAAGCTCAATCATTATTAATCATAAGGATAATAAATGAATATATATATATAATATATATATATAACTTCAACTGTAATTATTTGCAGGAATTTGAGAGACAGATTCAGTGAGCTAGAAGTGAATTACATGAGACCAGAAAACCTATATAACCAGGGAAGGTGGCACAGAATTTAGGCAGCATGGAATTTATAAAGAGCGTAGGCTTTGGATCCAGAGAATAGCACTGGGTTTGCCTTCCAGCTATGCCATTTGCCAGCAATGAGCTTCAGGTCCCTCATCTGTCTAAGTGGGGTCAGTACCACCTACCCTACAGGGCTATTGTAAGAACAGGAATAATATATAGAAAACGCACTGCTCAGGGCATTCACACAACAGCTGCTGCTGTGCTGCTTATACTTATACTAGAGGCCCCCACTCACTGGCACCAGAGCCTGGATTAGAAACCAGTCTGTGCCACTCCCCCAGTCAGAGCCCTTCCTATGATCTGTCCTACCTCCATTCCCTGCTCACCTTTTATCTCAATGCTCAGTATCCTACAAAGTGACAGAGCTGGTTTTTTAAAAAGTAGTAGATCACCAGGAGAAGTACCAGGATCCAATCTAGATAAACAACCTAGTTATAAAGGTCTTATACTGATAAAAGAGCAGACTGGTTACCCATATGTTACACTGATAAACAGACTGGTTATCCACTTCTTACACTGAAAAATGAACTAGTTATTCACATCTCACACTGATAAACTAACTGCTTATCCATTTCTAACATTGATTAAAGGACTGGTTATCTACATATTACACTGATAAACAGACTGGTTACCCACTTGTGATATTGATAAACAAACTTGTTCTCCACATCTTACATGGATAAACAGGCAGGTATTCCTGTGTTACTGATTAACAAAGTGGTTATCCACGTGTTACACTGATAAACAGACTGATTATCAACTTCTTACACTGAACATGGACTGGTTATCCACATCTTACACTGATAACTAGACTGGTTGTCCACATCCTACATTAATAAATGATTAGTTATCCACATAACTAATCATTTGGTAAATCTCCATATTTACCAAAACATAAGGCACTGTGCTGAGGATATAAAAAGGACTCAATAATCAAATAAAGGATTAATTCATTGCCCATACTTTGATGTTTTATGGCTTTTTTTCTTACTAATATCAGTGTCCTTAACAATATTACTTATTTTAACCATGACTTTTATTTTCTGAAATGTAAACTGACATACCACCAAGGGCATAAATCTTAAGTGTACATACAGCTCAATGAATGTTTAGATATGCATACACCCGTGTAACCACCATCCAGATACAGAAAGAGAATACTTCCAGGACTCAGGGGTCTCCCTCATGCCTTCCGCCAGCCACTACCTACCTGCCACCACCTGCCAAGAACAACTACTATTCTGAATTCCATCACCATACATTATTTTTTCCTGTGTTTGAACTTCTTATAAATGGAATAATATAACCACTATCTTTTCAGAAATTAGAAAAATTCGTATCAGTATACTTACAAAAAGAGTTCTGGAAAAGCATGCACCCAAACAATAGACTGGGAATCTTCATTCCGTGAGGCAATGTTGCCTAAAAACTGCAGGCCACAACGAAAAGCTGGGAATATTAAAAAAGTTTAAAAAAATAAGATATATGAAAATACATCTTAATAAGAAATATTCCCCATATTATTAAATAGGAAGTTTCTGTTTGCTTCTTTTAAATATAAAGGCCTCTCCTCACAGTGAAGCTTCAGCCATGACACTAATATGCCTTACCAAAACAATATACTCTATACAAAATTAGTTAACTCCTTAAAAAGGATTGTAAATGTAAACACAAATATAACGTAATTATACTAAATATCATTGGAATACATACTCCAATTAAAAGACAGCTACACTTAAACTGGATTTTTAAAACTCTAACTACATGTTATTTAAAACAGACATATCTAAAAAGATAAGGTTATAGCAATATTGAATGGTAAAGAATGGTAAAAAGATATACCAGGCAAATACCACTGAAAAAAGAAAGTCATAGAGCACTTAAAATCGGACATGATAAATCTTAATGCAAAAAGCACTACTAGAATTTTTTTAAAGGCCATTACAGAATGATTTAATTCATCAAAAAGATATAACAACTTAAAACTGGAATTCACCTAATAACATAGCCTCGAGTATATTCAGAAGAAAAAATTACAACAGTCTAGAGGAAAGAGAACAATCCACAATTAAATTGTGGATTTAAAATAAACCACAATTAAAACACGCCTTTCTCAGTAACTTACAGCAAGCAGACAAAAATAGCCATTTAAAGATTTTCGATTTAATAACAACCTACTTGACATGTTTAGAATAGTTCACCAAATAAAACTGGAGAATATTGACCCAAAACCGGAACACTGACAACACCAAACACTGACACAGATGTGGAGCAACAGGAACTTATTCATCACTAGTGAGACTGCAAAATGGTAGCTACTTTGGAAAACAGTTTGGCAGTTTCTTACAAAACTCAACCTATTTTATCATATGATCCAGCAATTGCACTCTTGGTATTTACCAAAAGGAGTTGAATACTCCTATCCAAATGGCTTCACTGGCCAGTTCATATTCAAGAAAGAAATTACTCCAACTTTTAACAACTCTCCCAAAAATCAGAAAAAGAGAGATTCCTAAACCAATTTTATGAGGCTACCATACCATTATACTCAAATCAGAACAAGGACAGTATGAGAAAAGGAAATAACACACATGTAAAGAACACTAAACAATATATTAACAAAATGAATACAGTAATATAAAACATGACAAAGTTAAATTTATAACTTCACTGAAAGCTGCTTTAACACTAGAAATCAAAATTTATTGCTGACCACCTTAACCTATAGAGGACGAAAATCATGTGATCATCTCAAATACTGCAGAAAACATATTTGATAAAATTCAACACCCATTCATAATTAAAAACAAAAACAAAAAAAAATCTCCTAGCCACCAGAGAATAGAAGCGGCTTCTTTAACCTAAAAAATGGACATTAACAAAAATCTATGGCACACATTATATGGCCAACTGCAGAGACAGAGAGTGATCCCTGAGAAGGAGGGGAATGAGTCGAAGGTCCTGCTATCACTGTTTCTAGTCAACACGGTACGAAATCCCAGCCAGCAAGACAAATAAAGATCTGAGGACAGGGAAGGAAGAAATCAAATTGTCATTCTTCCCTGCAGGTGAGATGATAATGTACACAGAAAATATATCTTTTTAATGTGTAAGGTAAAGTTTATAAAGGTTGCTAGACAGAAAGTCAATGTAAAATAATATTTCCATATACAGGGAACAAGCAAAAAAAAATCAAGAGAAGAGACCACTTATAAAAGCATCAAAAATATAACTAAAAACAATGTATATTACCATCAAGGAAGAAACTATGAAACTCGATTGAGAGACATTAAAGTAGAACTAAATAAATGAAGAATTATACCATACTCACAGAGTAGAGGACTCAATTTTTATCTATAGACTAAATGCAATCTGTGTGTGTGCACGTGTGTGTAATTTCACATACCAGAGAACATGTATATGTTTCTGTGTAATTTGATGAGACAATTCTAAAATTTCTGTGAAGATACAAAGGGCCAATAATAGCTAAGACATTGTTAAAAAATAACAAGGTAATAGGATTTGTCTTCATAAGACAGTAAGTGATTATAGTTAGACAGTGGAGTACTAGGGCAGGTAAACAGACCAAGAGAACAGAACAAGAAACAGACCCAAACCTATACTGACATGTGATTAATGACAGGTTTGACAGCAGACCATTGAGCAAAAGATGGTCTTTTCAAAAAACAGCACTGCGACAGCTGGGTATAAGTATGAAAAAACTGAAATTGGACTCCTTCCTGAGACAACACAAAAAATTCAATTCCAAGAATTTTCCTGAATGCAAAAAGCAAAAACAGAAAGACTTTAGAAACTACTGGAGAAAGATTTTTTAAACAAGATACAGAAAGTAGTGCCCATAAAGAAAAATATTAATCAACTAGACTATAATAAAATTAAGAACTTTTTTTCCTCAAAAGATAGGAGTAAAAACATACACACAAAAAAACTAGCTATAGAACAGGAAAAGATATACAGAACACATAATTGCCATAAGATTCATACACAGAATATATTATAAGAGCTGTTATAAATCATTAAAAAAGAAAGACAACCCAATAGAAAAATGGGAGGAAAAAAAAAACTTTAAAAAAAATTCATAGGGCCAGCCCGGTGGCACACTGGAGAGTGTGCCGCTTGGGAGCGCAGCGGCGCTCCCGCCGAGGGTTCGGATCCCATGTGGAGACCGGTTCCTGCTCACTGGCTGAGCGCAGTGCGGGCGCAGCACCGAGGGTTGCGATCCCGTTGCCGGTCCCCGGTATGGGCGCGACACCGAGGGTTGCGATCCCGTTACGGGTCAGTAAAAAAGAAAAAAAAATTCATAAAATAAAATCCAAAAGGCAAAAAAATATATGAAAAGGTGCTCTACCCCATGGGAAAACCACAACGAGGTTCTATTACACACCCAGCAAATTGGTAAAACTTAAAATCAGAAAATAACAAAGTATTTGGTGCAACAGAAACTAAAGGTTCTCTAAAGCCCTGAATATCCAAGGGATTCCATGAGCTGTTACACAGGCTGTATTTAAAATATTTTTGAGTGGGTACCAGTTATCAGTTATTGCCTCTGAGCTCCAAATAAATCCTTACTGCCTGCTCTGTAAAAATAATGCTGGGCCCTTCAGAGCCATTTACTTTGTCATCAGTGGAGTGTCATCAGTGCCTGGAGGGCACCAGGGGTACTGAGGCTTTTATCTCCCTGGTTTGGTGAACTTCCCTGGCCAGGCTTCTGCAGCACTCTACAAGGAACAGCTGCTCCGGGGCCCAGGAACTTCCTCTGGAGGCTTCACAGCAAGTTCCCCCTGTATTACACAGGATGGATTTCCAGCAAATTCCACCAGCACCACCTCTCAGAGACTTCTCCAACACCCAGCAAGCTTTGACCATGACCTCTCCAAGGAGGGGGAAGGGAGCCTCCAGGTAGTGGCTGCTAGCAGTATCTGCAATTCCTGTATGCTTTAGCATTCTCCTTATGTCTTATTAGTCAATCTTCCATTCTTCCAAGCCTTTGTTACAGTTAGTAATTCTTTATATTAAACCTTCCCTGTTCCGGCCGGCCCGGTGGCGCACTGGAGAATGCACCGCTTGGGAGCGCGGCGGCACTCCCGCCGAGGGTTCGGATCCCATGTGGAGACCGGGTCCCGCTCAGTGGCTGAGCGTGGTGCGGGCGCAACACTGAGGGTTGCGATCCCATTACCGGTCAGTAAAAAAGACAAAAAGGAAAAAAATCAAAAGAGAGCACAGAAGGGTAAGCCTGGGATTGAAAGACGACAGCCTGGTAACTAGAACAATACTGCGCCCCACAGGGACTCTCATTTAACTTTCACAATAAGGCAAATACAATTTCCCTTTCACAAGGGGGAAATGGAGGCACAGAGTGATTCAGTAAATTGCCAAAGGTCAAACAGCCAGTAGGGGGCCCAGACAAAGCAGCTGCCTGACGTCGACACCAGACATCTCACTGCAGCATACTGATTAGTGTAATACTTAATGTACTGAGTGCCCTTCTGCCCGGCCCCTTCCTAGGACCCAGCCCATTACTGCAAGGACAGTGCCTGACAGCATCAGCCCCCAGTGCCATCTTCAAGCACAACTGGCACCACGCTGCCGGGGGAAGTGTCACACCCCACTGTTTGCAAACTCTTTTTAAAGTGCTCCACGGGAGGGCAGGCAGCACGGGAGGAGGTCCTGAGCGGAGAAAGCAAAATGCTGCGAGGACCTGCACACCAGTGTGCACACAGCATCGAGAAGCCAGCAACGAGAAGCCAGCAACGAGCAGAGGCTGACACTCGCCGGATTTTTACTACATGCTAGACACTGGGTTCTTGCTGCAGTAGCTCCTCTAATTCCCATAACAAGCCATGAGGTTGTATGAATATTATCCCCCTGTTACAATGAGCAAACCAAAGCTCAGAAAGATTAGGGAACTTGCCAGAGGTCATGAAGCCTCTAATTGGTAGAACAGGATGGGCAAGAACAAGAGACTTGGCTCTTCCCAAGACAGGAATCAATGATGCTCAAGGAAGGTAAAAAGCCAGGAGAGTCCAAGCAGAAATGCAAGATTTTGCCCATTAAAGGAATTCTGACGGCAGAAGCAGGAAGACGTTTTCAGGCGCAAGCGCCTACTGAAGTCCCTTAAGCTTTCCAGGTCTCTGCTTTCCAAGAAGATGGGGGCAAACCTGCTGGTCCAGCCCAGAACTCTTGTTCTGTGTCCTTGGAGCTTCCCAGGACCTGAGCCTTCCCTTCAAACCCTGTCGCCTTATCCTTGTTGCTTAATCCTTGGTCAAGCGCAGGTCAGGCAGAGAAGTTGTTAGGATTCCAGGGGACAGGAGTGTGAGGTGCCTACGCCATTCACCTCTTCACAGCAATGTTCAAAGAAGAGTTGCAAAACTGTGCCCCGAAATCAAAACCTTGAAATTCTAAATGTATGCAAAAGAACACGATGATCC